TGAAGGAATAAATGTGTTCCAAGCAATGAGACTTGTCTTGAGAGCTGTTAATGGCAATATGTCTTTTAAATAATTTAAAAAATTTTTTGAACATTCACTGTATTTTTTGACCTATTAAAATGCTAAAAACAAACCCCAGAAAAGAAAAATAAGAGGCAGAAAATTGTTCAGAAAAGTAATAGCAAGGTTTCCTAGAATGGTGTAGTACATAAGTGTCCAGATACAATGAAATAGTGTACCTGATAAATGAATGCAAGAAATTCCCCAAGTAGTTCATAAAATTCTAAAAATCCAAGGATAACAATCTTAGGAGAGGAAGAGTAGGCTACTAAAAAAGGTCAGCAGTAGTGGAGCCTAGTGGCACATGTCTGTAACTCCAATATTTTGGAGGGAAGGCAGGAGGAATTAGAGGCCTACCTGGGCCTACCTAGGCTACCTGGGTATGTTCAAGGGTGGGGTGGACTGAACTGCATAGCAAGACCCGGTCAGGCAAATCAGTCCGTAATAAATGGGCTAATCAAGTGGTACAAAAACAATTGGAGGATCTTTTCTCATTTCTCCTGGAGGATACATGTACTTTACTGACATAATAAATGAAGGAACAATCTGAGATTGAGAAAATGAGTTTCGTCTCAGGGAAAGATTAAAAGGCCCATTAGGGTTATGACAGGGGACAGATCAGAAGAACCATTGAACGGCAGCTTTGAGAATTAAAAAGTTTAGACTATAGCAGCATTAAGGGAAGATTATTTCCCAGAGAGTAAGGAACAAACTTAATGAATGAGTTGATGTGTTAAAAGTGTAATAAGAGATCTATAATACTCTGGGAGACTGAGGCAGGAGGATCACAGGTCCAGTCTAGGTTGGGCAACTTAGTGATTTAGCACTTAGTGTTTGAGGCACTGCCTCAAAAAATTAAAGTGTTAGGGACATAGTCCAGTATGAAGAGCTGTGTTCAGTCGTAAGCACAGGATGGGAGTGGGGAGATACACTTTTGTGGAGTTACCTAAATTAGTGATACATACATAGGAAAAAAGGAATCAAGAAAACAAAGCTGTTAACTAGCTTTAGGTAGAGCAAGAAGTTATATGGGAAAAACAGCTGTGGTTTAGCACCTATTAATAGTTATGTAATTATAGGATTACGTTGATTATATTGGTATGTCAAATAGGGCAATATAACAGGGGAAGACTGCATTTAAAAACAAAACCAAGTGTGGTGGTGCATGATAGTAATGTCATCACTGGGAGGCTGAGGTAGGAGGATTGCAAGTTAGGAGCCTCTCATGAGGACCTAGCAAGGCCGTACCCATCCATCTATCCATTCACCAACTATGCATCAACCCATCTACTCATTTGCCTTTCCATAGAGAAAGCAAGCTGGTGCTGTAACTCAGTGAGAACCTGGGTTCAAACACCAGGAGAACACACACAGAGGAAAATGTATCTGGAAAAAGTCATTTTTTGTATAGTTATTTTGTATTCCCTACAATGTCTAAAGACATTATTAAGAAATAAATATTAGAAGAAACAGGATTTTAGGAGTACTTTTGGTAAGCAGAAATCTGGAGTGGATAATTGTACAGGGTTTTTTTGTACTATATACCTAGTTGTGTTGCTTGCATATAGTATGTGCTTGTGTATTACTTTCATAAAGATTAAATGAAATAGCTATCTAAAGGAAGATTGGTAAGATGGATTTTTGAAATTATATGTAAGAGAAGTCAGTTCAAAGGTTGTCATTGGAACTACTCAGTACTTTTTTTTTTTTGGTATCAGAAATCAAACTTATGACCTCATGCTTGCCAGGCAGGCACACTGCCACTGAGCTATATCCCTGGCCCACTTTCTCATTACTGCCAAAAAATTTCACAGTGCTTTTCAGAGAGAACATTTTGTCTAATAATGGCTTCCTGGGATAGCCTTCCAAGTGAAAGCACTCTTTGTAAACAATGAAAACTCACTGAGTATTGAGTATTATCAAAACAACTCTGCACCTTAGCTCATAAAAGACATTGTAACTGCAGCACAGTAATTCTGGGAATGCAGCTGGGTATCTACCACACATTTTTACCTGTGGGTTCTTAGGGAATTACGAAAATCATTACACTGTCTTTTAGGTAGATATTAAAGGGATATAACTTAAATTCTTGAAACCTAAGATTGCTCCCAGCATCTAACTTCCATTTGTTATAGAAGTTGGGGGCGGGATGTTTGTGACGGATGGATAATACCTCTAAACCAGACAGCAGTGTCATATATACTATACTGTAAACTGTTTTACTTAATGGAGTATATTAGATATATTTTCACCTTATAACAACATCATGATTTTTTAATGCTATTACTGATGGCTTTACCCTCATCTCTCCTATTGTCTTTCTATATATCCCTCAGGCTTCTCACTCTTATTCCCATCCTGTTGTCTAATAATAGTCTCCTACTTTCATGTCATCTCTTTTTGATTCACCTACTAGAGAAAACCTGCGATAACTGTCTTTTTTTTTAGCCCAGCTTATTTTGCAACATGATGATTTTGTATCCTCTTTCTTTGTCTGTCTGTCTTTTTGAGACAGGGTTGCACCTTGCAGTTCAGTCTGCCTTGACTCACTTTTGTAGCCCAGGCTGGTCTCAAACTCACAATGATCCTCCTGCCGCATCCTGTCTGAGTGCTGGGATTACAGGCATGCACTACTACATCTGGCATTGTATCCATTACATAATTTTTGTATTACATAGCAGAATTATATTCCATTGTGTTTATGTATCACAATTTCTTTATCCATTCTTCTGTTGATAGGTGCTTACACTGTTTCCATGTCTTTGCTGTTACTAATTATACCATTGTAAACATGAGTATGCTGATACTCCTGTAGAATGCTGACTTTAATTCCACCAAGGAGTGCTATAACTGGGTCATATGGTAGTTCTACTTTGAGTTTGGAGAAATCTCTCTGTATGGTTTCCATAATGGCAGTATAGTACTCACATTTCTACTAGCATTGTAGAGGGGTTTCTTCTTCCCTGCGTCCTCAACAGCATTTATTGTTTTTTTATATTCTTGATGATAGCTATTCTGACAGTTGGTGAGGTGGAATCTCAGTATATTTATTTGCATTTCTCTAATGGCTAAAGATGTGGAGCATTTTTGCATTTCCTTATTGGCCATTTGTACTTCTTTTGGGAATTTTTTAACCCATTTAGTGTGTTTGGGCTATGTGTGCATGCGTCCATGTGTGTGTGTTCGATTTTGGGGGGTGGGTACTGGGGATTGAACTCATGACCTCATATTTCCCCGGCAGGCGCGTGTGCCACTGAGCTGTATCCCTAGCCCCGGTGTTAGGTTCTTTATTCTAGGCATTAATTCTCTGTCAGAAAACTAGTTGGCAAGAATTTTCCTCCCACCTTCCCCCTTCCCACTAGTCTCTTTGACCCCGAGTCTCACTATGCAATTCAGGTTCGCCTTGAACTCACTTTGTAGCCCAGGCTGGTCACCAACTTGTAATGATCCTTTTGCCTAACCCTCCCGAGTTTTGTAATCATAGATGTGCACCTCTACACCAGACTGTCTTCCATTCTTTAGGCTGCCTAGTCTGTTGGTTGGTTTCTCTGATTTATTGATTCTTGGAATTATTTCCTGTGTTGTTGGAGTCCTGTTCAAGAAGTCTTTGCCTATGCCAATGGCTTCTGGTGTTTCCCATTTTCTTCTAGTGGTTTCAAAATTTCAGGAAGAAAAATCTCTTTCCTTAGATTGCTTTGGGTATTTTGGGTCTTTTGTGTTTCCTTAAGGATTTTAGGATGTGTGTGTGTGTATATATATATATTTTTTGTTTAGTTGCATGAAGAATATCATTATAATTTTGATGGGGATTACATTGAATCTGTAGGTTACTTTTGGTAATATAGGAGTTTTAACTATTAATTCTGCCTATCTATGAACATGGAAGGTCTTTCCATCTACTGGTGTTTCTTCAGTGTTTTGTGATTTTTACTGTAGAGGTCTTTTACTTCTTGGTTGGGGTATTAACAGATTAATTGATTGATTGATTTGGGGAGTTTTTTTATTTTTTGAGGCAGGTGTCATGAAGTTCAGGATAATCCTCTGTTAGAGGAAGATTCAACTCAATTATGTAGTCCAGGCAGGCCTCAAACTCGATCTTGCTGCCTCAACCCTCTCGTGTACTGAGATTAGAAGTGTATGCTACCACATTTGTCAGGATAAATTTTTAAAGCTATTGTGAATGGAATTGTTTTCTTGGCTTCTTTTTTAGCCAATTCATTGGTGAATAGAAAAGCAATTGAGGGGTTGTTTTGTTTTGCTTAAAGAAAGGAAAGGTTTATTTAGCTCACAGTTTGTACATAATCAGTTTGGCCATAATCAGTTGGCTCCGAGGCAGTGTGGTCTGGCAGAGGGGCAAACATTCATGGCAGTGGAAGACAGCAGAAACAACAAGAGAAAAAGGCAAAAAGTTATTGAGTTTTGAATATTGATTGCATGTCCTGAAAAGCAGTTTTATCAGTACTTCTATTTGAAAAAGAAGGGCAATACTTACTTGGAGTGAGTACCAGTGGCTAAATTAACTTAGGGTTCAAAAGGGCTGGTGGCCTGTTTCCATTGCTCAGCTCCTACCTTACATGAGCCAACAATACCTATTTTTTAGATAACCAAAGAAATATTAAACATATCATTGATATTAAACAGTATGATGATTTGTGTATGCCTTTTGTTACAAGACAGTTTAAGGTTTCATAGGGTGGCAGAAAATGTTGACTAGAATTTTAATGGTCATACGCTTTGAGCATAGCAGTTTTTATTTTTGCCTTTGTATTTTTCTCTTCTTTATCATATAGCAACATAAGATGACTTTAGCGTTTTAGAAAATTGTATAAATGCAAGTCTTTTCTGTGTATTTTAAGTTTCTCTTGCCAATGTCAAAGGTTTACAACCTTTTAAAATAAAAATTAAGGCAAAGTAACCAAGTCCTTTGTGTTTTTGTACAGGAAACTCTTCATACAATAAAATGGGAGGAAAGAAAAATGCAGCAATAAAGATAGATAAGGTTTGTAGAAATAGTCTTTTTAATAGGTAATAACACTTTGGTTACATAGTACATACCTTTAGTGCCTCAGTTACATACAAACACTTAAATATAACTATTACAGAAGTTTGTTTCCTGTTTCACTAACTACTATTTACATTTCTAGACTCGAAGATCAAATCAGTGCACAAGTTATTGCTTCAGAAATTTTTTCTCCAATTTATTTTCTTCTGGTAGTTACAATGGAGAATCTTCCTTTACCTGTAGAGCTTACTGGTTAGTATTTTCTACTTTTAATATATGCTCTTTATACTTGATAAATCATTATAATTAACTTTTGATACAAATTTAAACTCTGAGCTTAATTAAAAATTATGAAAGTTCCATCGTGTTTTGTTTTTCTTTTCTTTTGGAAAATAAACTAGCTCTAGCAAAGAGAAACTTTGTTCTTTGAACTTCTCTGTTGTGCAGAGCCTACCTGTGCTATAAGTTTACTATAATAAAGTTGTTCTGTACAGTCTTGTTACTTGATAGGGAAGGAGGCTATTTGTTAAGTTGGAATAGTACCTAATAAAGCAGAATGCATTTAGAGCAGATCCCATCATCCTTGAATCCACACTGACTGACAGTAGATGCTCAGTAGATACTTGTGGAATTTAAGGATTGTGTGATTTAATTTCACAGCTTGGCAAAGTACCAAAAAAAGAATTAAGTCTGAGTAACCTTTTGAAAAGCTGAATTGTATCTATTTTTTATTGTAACAGCCATATCCTCCTTTGTTTTATGTTAGAAGGGAGACTGTTATACCTAAATCTCTCTCATTAATGTAATAAGTAGTCTTAATTGACTCTTTAAAAATTCTGTCACTTTCTGATAGAAATTCAAGCATTAATTTTAGAGTATAATTTATATGAATTTATTTTATGTGAAATTGTACTTACATGAAGGAGTGTATGGGAAAGTATGTAGTAAAAAGTTCTTATTTTGTAAATATAATCCATAATACTGTGTATGAAAACTGCTGTTATTGACATAATCCAGTTGTTACTCTAACCTTTAATTTTTGGGGTTCTGATGAAGACCTAAATTTATCTTTTAGTACAGAATTTATAGAAGTCAATGAAATCAGTGCATTGATTAGGCAGAAGAGACAGGAACTGGAATTGTCATGGTTTCCTGATTCATTACCTGGAATTGGAAGGTAAAAAAGAAGTGGTTATTAAAATATTTACATGCTAATGTGAACATAAGATATTACTACTTTAATATGAGGGTACTTTATTTAGTAGTTACCTTCAAAAGAAAGTTTTGTGTAAACTTTGGAGTTTGAGATGCATAAGGTAGATAACAATTTAAAAGAATCTTTGGCAAGGACAAAACCCTTTATCTGTTTAACGATTTTAGATATTTATAACACATGCTAGATTGATTTAAAGAGAAGAACACCAGACTATCAAGATTCATTATTAGTAACAACATTCAGATCTGTCATCCTTCTGTTCTTTCTCCATTCTAGCCTGACCTGTGCTGTCTGAAGCATTATTTTTCCTGTTATTTACTTTTTTCCTGAAGTGTTCTTCTAAATGAATCAAGTGCCTAGTGTCCCGGCATTCTGACTTTCTATAGCTTAGACTTTTTAATGCTTGGACGTCTTGAAGTTACTAGCACAGTGTCAAGTACATAATACGTATTTAAACAAGCTCCTACATAAAGATCATGGTCTCTGAGTTTTATATTCATTCCTTGTAACACATTGTGACTTTTTACCCATCAGTATAACTCTGTATATAACCTTTACCCTCAAGAAATGATAACTGAATTTAAGTAGAAGTAAAATTAGGAAGTCCAAGTAATAATATACTCTTAAACCTTTTCTTTCAGTTACACATTTTTGTAATTACACAAGTTGCATGTCATTTTAAGCTTACCTCTTTTAATGTCAGTATATGTCCTAATACTCAGAGAGAGGAAATTTTTTTTTGAAGTAATTGTTTTAAAAGACCTAAATTTAACATTGGTGAATAAGAAAAAGGAACTTGATAAGTAGATTCAATTTAAATGCAGAAAATTGGTGGTGGGGGGAGTTTTCTTATAACTGGTCCGTAGAGACACTGAAAACTTTGAAAGGCCATCATCCTTACATCAAGGAGTTAAAGATGCAATATAGTAATAAAAGTTAATTCCTTGGTTGCCTAGAAAGGAGTTTGCAGCTGGGGATTTAGCTCAGAAACATAAATGCCTGCCTGGCAAGTGCAAAGTCGCAAGTTTGATTCCAGTTACCAAAAAAAGGAATTTGTAAAGGAACATCAGGGAATTTTCTATGGAAAATGTTACTTGGTTATAGGTAGATTAAAATCATTAAATCATACTTAAGTCTAGATGTTTTATGATACATTTCAAACTTGATTCTAGAATAGCAAAAGAATGAAAGCTACCCATTGGTAATAAAACACTGAACTACTTAAAAAGAATTTATTAGGCAAAACAGTTTAAGAATTATATTTTAAGACTGCTGACCTGATTGGGAAAATTAATAATTTTAAATGGTAGTTTAATTTTTTAAAACTAAACAAAATTTGTTTTAAATTTTCAGAATTGGTTTTATACCTTGGAATGTCGAAGCAGAAGTTCTTCCTCTCATTTCTTCTGTGTTGCCAAGAACTGTTTTTCCAACAAGTATCTTATCTTTAGAAAATTTTGGTAAAGTTTGTGAATATTTTTGTTTTTAAACAAACGTTATTAATGTCTTCCAATTTCATTGACATGTGTTAATGATTTAGAAAAGTTGGAAAATATACTACTTAAATATTTATGGAAATAATTGGACAGTTGCTTGACTTTAAAATCATTCCAACAAGAGTACGTGTTATTCAGCTGGAAAGGAGAAAATTTTGTCATTGACAACATGAATGAACCTAGATATATCCTAAGTAAAATAAACCAGGCACAGAAAGAGAAATATTATACAACTTCATTCATATAGGTTCTAAAAAAAACTAACTTCATAGAAGTTGAGAATAGAGTGGTGGTTAGCAGAGCTGGGTTGTGTGGGTGGGACTGAAGAGATGCTGGTCAGAGGATACAAAATTTGATTTAGGAAGGCTGAGTTCAAGAGATATGTAACATTGTAACAACAGCTAATATAATCTTAAAAAACATTGTGTGACTGTAGTGTTTTCACCAAAAATAACTATGTGTAGTAACATATGTGTGAATTAGCTAGATTTAGTCATCCCACAATGTATATATACTTCAGAGCATCATGTTGTGTGTGGTAAATACATACTATATCTGTCAGCTTTTTAAAAAATTATAACTAGTACATTTTACAATTTTGAGAAATTATCAATCTTAACACTCTGAGAGACAGGCTAAAGGTTTCCTTTCTGTTCAGGCATGTATTGTCCAAACCATAGATCTTTAGAAGTGATATCTGTTAATTAAAACTAGTATCTGAGTCTTTACTTGTGGCTAACTTAGTAGTTTTCTATTTCTTTTTTGACTAAATAATAGCTCATGAAAAAAAAAAAAGTAGCACTTGGGGTTGGGGATTTAGCTCCGCGGCATAAGCGCCTGCCTTGCAAGCAGGCAGTCTTGAGTTGGATCCTTGGTACCGATAAAAAAAAAAAAAAAATAACACTTGCTTGATTGAATATATTTTCTTTTTTTTTCCATATAAAGTTGCTTCCATGGATCTAAATCTGGTTATTTCAGTGACATTTTAGAAAGTTGTTGAAGCCTTTTATTGTACAGATGTTAGTATCTGTACATATTTATAATTTCAAAGGTATATTCTTTCATTGTATTGTATACTTTTATGCTAAAATTAAAGCCAAAGTGTCATACTTTGTGTTTGAAACGTACTTTACAGTTTTTATTTATTTGTTTTTCAACATTATCAGATTCTTCTTGCAAGGGATATGCATTAGCACATACTCAAGAAGGAGAAGAAAAGCAGCAAACTTCTGGTGCTTCAAATACCAGAGGATCAAGACGAAAACCTGCAGCAACTCCTACAAGGAGATCTACACGTAACACAAAAACTGAGACAGTCAACCAGTCTCAGAGATCCCCAACATCAAATAATTCTGGGTGTGATGCCCCAGGTAACAGTAATCCTTCTGTAAGTGTTTTATCTCCAGCTGAGTCAGAAAAGCAAACAAGACAGGCTCCAAAACGGAAGTGTGTAAGAAGAGGAAGAAAACCACCTGTATTGAAAAAGAAACTTCGGCGATCTGTACCTCCCCCTGAAAAATCATCATCTAATGACTCAATAGAGGAAGAAATAGTGGAATCTGATGCAGCAGCTGTATTAGAAAAAGAGCAACAATCAGATGTAGAAGAAAGTAACATTTGTTCTGTTCAGACAGATACAGAAAACCAGTCTGCTGATTGCTTGAAAAGTTGCAATGAACAAATGGAAGAAAATGAGGAATGCAAGGAGAATCGTGATATAGAGCAAAAAGTAGGATCTTCATATTCTGAGTCTTGTACAGACAATCCTCCTATGTTAGTTGGAGAGGAAAATAAAAAACCTGAGAATATAACAATGGAGGCTAACGTTTTGAATTCAGAATGTGAAATTTCTAAAGATACTTTTGAAAAAGGAAGTGATCCATTAAAAAATCAAGACCAGATGTCAGAATCAGAGGGAAAGACAGTTATATATTCAAATCCTCCAAGTGATTTTCTTTCATGTTCAGGATCTGAAATTGAAGTACCTCATCATGTTTCAAGTCTCCTAAGTGAGATACCTGAGAATATAGAATCAGAGGTTAATGAACAAAAAGTAATAGAGAGTCGTACAGTGGGAATTATTGACCATCAAGATTCTACAGTGAAAATAGAAGAGTCTATAGAGATCCCTAAGTTAGAATCTTCTGAAAGTGAAATTATACTAACAGTGGACAGAAAGACTGTTGAGACCTCAGAGATTCAGTTGCTTGGACATAGTGAAACTTGGGATACAGAAAAAGCAACTTGTGAAACTGCTGAAAATGGAAATTTTAATAGTACTCAAGACTCTGAAGATAATTTAGTAAAAAATCTTAACACCAAATTGGACAAACCTTTAGAAGAAAAGAGTGATCCCAAATCTCTGGAGTTGCTTAACACACACATTGAACAGATTGAGAAGCATTTTAGTGAGGACAATAATGAAATGGTACCTATGGAGTGTGATTCACTTTGTAGTGACCAAAATGAATCCGAAATTGAATCATCTGTAAGTACTGATTCTAAGCAGTTGATTGAAAATACTGTAGTACATAGTTCTGAAAATAGTATGCCATTTTCCAATCCTGTAAATGAAAAAATTGAAACTCTATCTCAGACATCTGAAAACGCATCAGATACAGTAGATAAGTCCAAAAAACCTCGTACTCGAAGATCTAGATTTCATTCTCCGTCTACAACTTGGTCTCCCAACAAAGACACTGCACAAGAAAAGAAGCGTTCCCAGTCTCCCTCTCCCAAAAGAGAAACCGGAAAAGAAAGCCGAAAGTCTCGATCACCATCTCCTAAGAAAGAATCTGCTAGAGGACGGAGAAAATCTCGTTCTCAGTCCCCCAAAAAAGATACAAGAGAAAGGAGGTATTCTCATTCTCGATCTCCAAAAAGAGACAGTACTAAGGAAGGCAAAAGATCTGAATCACCATCCCCAAAAAGAGATACATGTAGAGAGAACCGAAGATCTCAGTCAAAGCTGAAAGATACTTCCTCAAGAGAAAAATCTAGGTCTCAGAGCAGAGAAAGAGAAAATGAGAGAGATGGGCAGAGGAGAGATCGAGATAGAGACAGGAGAACGCGAAGGTGGTCCCGATCCAGATCCCGGTCCAGGTCACCATCTAGATCTAGAACAAAAAGTAAGAGTTCATCATTCGGTAGAAATGAAAGAGATAGTTATTCTCCTCGGTGGAAGGGAAGGTGGCCAAATGATACTTGGAGATGTCCACGAGGAAATGATCGGTACAGAAGGAATGACACTGAGAAACAGAATGAAAATATAAGAAAAGAAAAAAATAACATCAATCTAGATGCTGATGATCCAAATTCTGCTGACAAACATAGAAATGACTGTCCCACTTGGGTAACAGAAAAAATAAATTCTGGTCCTGACCCAAGGACCAGAAATCCAGAGAAGTTAAAAGATTCCCATTGGGAAGAAAACAGAAATGAGAATTCAGGGACTTCTTGGAATAAAAACTTTGGTTCAGGTTGGATGTCTAACCGTGGTAGAGTTAACCGTGGCAGAGGCGCTTACCGAGGCAGTCTTGCCTATACAGATCAGAATGAAAACAGGTGGCAAAACCGAAAACCCCTCTCAGGGAATTCAAACAGTTCAGGGAATGATTCATTCAAGTTTGTGGAACAGCAGGCCTATAAACAGAAGAGTGAGCAGGAGTTCTCATTTGATACACCAGCAGATAGGTCAGGGTGGACATCTGCATCTAGTTGGGCTGTGAGAAAGACTTTGCCAGCAGATGTACAAAATTACTACTCACGGCGAGGGAGGAATCCTTCAGGTCAGCAGTCTGGATGGATGCGACAAGAAGAAACAGCTGAACAGGGTAACACCATCTGTTTATTGATTCTGTTTTACCTGAAAGATTGTAAATATATTTATTTGTGTGAATTGAAATGATCCTTTTCCTTTTTTTAATGTTAAACTGAACCCTTGTTCAAAAGTCACTTTCCATTATATATGTTGACATCATGTACTTGTCACTGTTGACTAATTTTTACCCCACTCTAAATTTTGCCAAAAGTGGAAATACTTCCTATACTGTTTGCTGAACTAGTGTTTAACTTCTATTTCATTTATTTCAGGGGTGTACACTTGTATTTTTGTTGCTCTTTGTTCTCATACAAATAAGTTACTCATTTAATTATCTTTCCTTGGTAAGAATCCTACAAGAGACTTAAGCCCGTTTCAGGAAGGTGGAGCACAGGGGTGAGGGTGCTTTCCTAGCATTTTAAGCCCTGGATTCAATGTCTAGTACTGTAAAAATCAAAACAAAACAACAGTACAAGAAAAATAGGTTCTGAAAATACTACAGCTTGATCATACATGTATTTAGTAACCATTTAAGATTTGTGATCTTTTTCAATGAGTAAGTTTTTGAACTACTTACCTTTTGCAGATGTTGTTACATGAATTTATTGTTTAAAATAATAATGTTAAATAGTTTTAGTCAGAATATCTACACATTAGATGACTAGGTTAAATAATTGGATAGTAGTTTTGCTGTACTGAGTCTATTTTATTGTAGTGAGTCATTCTTTGCTTTGTTGTTTAGAGATTTGTAACATGATTTTTTCATAAGCTCTTTTTCTTTCAATAGATTCTAACCTTAAAGACCAAACAAACCAACAAATTGATGGTTCTCAGCTACCTGTAAATATGATGCAGCCACAGGTGAACGTAATTCCACAACAAATGAACACTCAGCATCAGCCTATGAATATCTTCCCATATCCAGTGGGTGTTCATGCCCCTCTGATGAATATCCAGCGCCATCCCTATAACATTCATCCACAGCTGCCCTTGCATCTCCATGCAGGAGTGCCCCTCGTGCAGGTAGCCACTCCTCCCACTGTAACTCAGGGACTGCCCCCGCCCCCACCCCCACCTCCACCCTCCCAGCAAGTCAACTACATGGCTTCACAACCAGATGGAAAGCCACTGCAGGTAAGTTTGATCTGTGTAATTGTAAACTTTCAGCTGCTCGGGGCAAATGTCCAACAGAGGGTTACTGGCATCTAGAAATAGTTTTTTGAGTACATTCATGGTAAACCTTCATAATCTCTTTCTCATTATCCTTTTCCAACACTTACCCTGACCTCTAAGCAAGAATATTGAATATATATTTACAGGCTGGGGATTTAGCTCAGCAGCATAAGCACCTGCCTTGTAAGCCCATGGTTGTGAGTTCCATCCCTGGTACCGGTAAAAAAAAAAAAAAAGAATGTATATATTTACAGAATATAATCTATACATGTATCATTATTCACATCCAGACATGTCTTTTGTTAGATTAAGATGACCACATTATTAATCCAGGTGTGGTGGTGTATGCCTATAATTCTAGCACTCAGGAGGCTCCACTTTGAAGCCATCCTTGGCCTACATAGTGAGACCCTGTCTCACCAAACAAAAACAAAACAAAAAAAATAAGATCAGATAAGACTAAAATTAAATGGAAGATGCTTGAAAGCTTTTTTTGGACTTCATGGGCAGTGTGGTAGGAACTCATGATTACTGTGATAAGGTTTGCATCATCTTGTTTGGACAAATGCTGTATAGAGCTGATCATTATCCAATACCATGTGTGTTTCATTTTTCATGAACTTAATATGACAAAAAGAAATAAAATTTGAATAATTTATGAAAATTTATGAATATTTATGTTGCTTACAATTTTTGAATCCTGAAAAAATGTATTGAAAGAGTAGGGAAATGCCAGGCATGGTGGCACACATCTGTAATTCTAGCATGTGGAAGGCAGAGGCAGGAGGATCACTGCAATTTTGAGGCCAGCCTACTAGGCTACATAGTGAGACCTTGTCTCAAAACAACAACAACAACAATAAAAAAAAAAAAAACCAAAACAATCCAAAAATAAAAACAAACAAAATGAAAACGAGTAGGGAAATGGTATTTTAGAATTTGGCCTCTTACGTCCTTTGCTGTCAGACATTGCAAGCCATTTGATGTCACTGCCTCATTTTCTATAGTCTTTTAAGGTGGAGTGCTTAAGGTGGTTAATGTTTGTGAAGAGTGTTGCAGGAGAGATAAAAGACTTAAATGCTGTTTTTCTCCTGTTTGTTGCTTTTAGTGTCGGTTTGAGAACATTACAATACACATAATGTAAAATGATCTTATTGACATGTTTAAACGCAAGTGTTACTCTTCAGAGAACTCTTTATATGTAAACAAACTGATAGGCTGGGTATATAGGTCAGCAGCACAGTGCCTGCATGGTAAGCACAAGGTCCACAGTCCAATTCCCAGTACCAATAAATAAATGAATGAACTGATAGGTAGAAATGCATTTAACATTGAATGACGTTTTAAAATGTTACTTCTAATACATGACCAAAAGACTGCAATAAAATACAAGTTATTCATTAACTGACAATAACTCTTTAAAACAGGGTATTCCTAATGCTTCTCATGTAAGTAATAACATGAGTACACCGGTCTTGCCTGCTCCGACAGCAGCCCCAGGAAATACGGGAACAGTTCAGGGACCAAGTTCTGGTAACACTTCGTCATCAAGTCACAGCAAAGCCTCTAATGCTGCTGTAAAATTGGCAGAAAGCAAAGTAAGTGTTACAGTGGAAGCCAGCGCAGATAGCTCGAAGACAGACAAGGCAAGTTCAAGGTTGACAGCAACCTACATACCTAATATAATTCTGTATATGATAAAGATGATAAAATGGCAGCTTTCTTTTTCATGAGTGGTGAGGGAATTTATTATTGGTAATCTTAAATTACAGAGTTATTTAAAAGGTTCAGTTTAAATCTGTTGATACCCACTGAGTTACTGGTAATGTTGCATAATTATATTTTTTAGTATTTAAAATATTAATAACTTTTGTAATTGTCATCAGGAATATGTGAAGAGTTCCTTATAATGTTAGTATAGTATGTTGAGTTTCATATTTTTAAAGAAACTTTTTAAAATATGTGGTGAATAATTTCACATTTTCTTATCAGAAATTGCAAATTCAAGAAAAAGCAGCCCAGGAGGTAAAACTGGCGATTAAGCCATTTTATCAAAACAAAGATATCACCAAGGAAGAATATAAAGAGATTGTACGGAAAGCAGTAGATAAAGTAAGTCACAACTTTAGTGGAGCTGTATGTCTACTGTTTTGAGCCATTTCTATTTTAATAAATGTCAAAACTTAATCAAATCTAGCTCGTACTAATTCTTGTGTGCTTTTTTACCGTTTGAGTAAGTTCTTGTAAGAGATGCAGCATAAAAATAAGTCTCTCCCTAGGGGTTCCCCCCCTACCCACAATGCTTTCCATTTTGCTTTAATCCTTCTAGGCATGACCGAAGTTTGCCTCTGTTTTTCCTTAGGTTTGTCATAGTAAGAGTGGAGAAGTTAACCCTACAAAAGTGGCCAATCTGGTGAAGGCCTATGTGGACAAATACAGACACGCCCGGAAGGGGAGCCAGAAGAAGGCAGTAGAGGAGCCTGCGGGGGCAGAGCACAGCACCGGCTGAGGTGCAGAGCACTGCGGAGGCCACGACCCAGACCCTGCCAAGTGCAATTTCAGCGTGTTCCATTAGAAGAAAATCAGACGGGACCGGGACTGAAATTGGTTTTGATAATTATTTTTTTTATGTAGGATATGATGTTTTGTTCTAAAGAAATCTAGCTCTGCACTGCAACTTCCTTATCCACAGCCTCACCTCAAATAAATAAATTCAAGGGAAAGTAGAAGTTTTAAAGGAATGTGCATTTTTTACCAGGACCGAGTACTTGTGTGGATGCTGGAAGATGTACAGCTTTTGGATTTGACTGTTTGACTGTAACAATGGAGTGCATAAATTAGAAACTTCTAAGTGCACTGGTTTTGCAAGAGATATATGTAAAATACATTTATTCTGTCAGACTAAAAAATAAAGTATGAACTTTATGACCTTCTCTCTCATAACTATAGAAAATTAAATAATGTATTACCATGAAAAATATTTCTAATAAATAGAACATACCCAGTTGCAGGGTTCCTAATGTGTATTTTTAAAGCACATATCTGCTTAGATAGAAAACAATAACATGAGTAAAATTTAGTGTTCAGAACTTTGAGAGCTCTTCACCTATGTATCACCAAATAAAGGTTATGCTGCTGTTTTTCTTTTGTGCCTTTTTTCCCCCAGTTGAGATGAAGCAGTTTGATTTGCTAGATTACAACGTTGGCAGTTTAAAGTTGTTGAATTTAGAAGGCAAATTTGGATAAATATTGACTTTGTAGAAATTAAGTTCTTTCATCATATCTTCTACTCCAGGAGATAATAAATTATTTGTGCCAGGCGGAGAAATGTTAGGAACCCTCCCTTCCTTGGTACTAAGGTAGAAATTGCAAGAGTCACCTCACTGGGTTCACGTCGTTGCTCGTCTATCTTGTCCCTAGTCAAGTCTTTCTGCGTGCGAAAAATCCCCAAATGCTTTACAACAAATATATTGTTAATTTGGTGACCATTGGTCATGGCCAATTGGTCATGTAAAATTCTAGATATTTAGACCTGTATTTGATAAAGGGAGAGTTAAGTAATAGAGTTGATTAGGCTTGGGAGGACTAGGAATTTGGTTACTTTTAAAAGTACTGTTACCTGTAATTTTTATAAAAGGTAAGTTTAAAATGTTTATAGCTTTTAATTAGCATCTTTGAAGACAAATTAGTTCTTTCCATGATAAACTATCTTTACTCCAGTATCAGTTTTCATTAGATACCAAATAACTAGAATGGTATTCAGATAAAATGTTAATGGATCCAACCGAGGTAAATAAATATGTCTTGGTGACACAGATTCTTTTACTACCTAAACCAGTGAGAGCAATAATTGGTAGGACTGTGCTTTTCTAAAGTTAAAGATACCCCTTTCTCAATTTTTTTGTGTGTAATACTTTTCCTGGTGCTAGGTTTGATAGATGAAATATTTTGAAATGTTGGACCCCACAGTGAATGTGCTTTGTTAGTTAATAGGTTTGTTAGGTTATAATTAGGATCCTAAAAAATTTCCGAGCAGTTTTTGGTCTTCATTCTACATTTCTGGGCATTTGTAATATGGTATTTTACTGATAGATAAATATATATTTTTTAATTGACGTTTGTGTTCAGATTATGGGGGAAGAAGTTTAAAAGTATATTTGTTCTAATAAAGTATTAAGACACTTTAAACATCATTGCACCCCTCTGCAGTTGCTTCAGTTTAGAATTCCATAAAAGGGTGTGAACTTGCACTGTATTTTAAATTAAAGCTGGTTCACACTTTGAAATTTTGTGGCAAATAGCTGTTCCTGAACTGAGCTGATTAATCACACAGTTATTGCTTTTCCTGTATTTTCTTTTAGGGACATTTGAGAATTGAGTGACTTTTAAAAATTTATTACCATTCAGCTTTTGCAAAGAAATGTTAAAGTTTTGAATAAAAGCTAGGTGTTGTGGTGAAAGTTAAAAGCTCCATAGATTATTTTCATTGTTCTCGAAAACAATGTGTTCCATACCTGATTGGTGTACTAGTTAGACTATATTTAAAATGGTTAATGATGAAGAATGTTACTGGATTAGAATTTAAATTCCTAAACTTCAAGTGTATAAAAAGGAATTTAAAAATGCATGCTTTCTGATTTTACATAAATTGTTTTAACATTGCCCATTCCTGCCCCAATGCCCATCCCCATAAGTTACTTATTTTGCATGTGCACAGACTTAATCAGAAACAGTCTATGAGGCTACAGTTTTTTCTTTATCAGGAATCAGTATTGACCTTGGACCCTTGGTCACTTTTTACTTACTAGTCACATTGACTGATGCATCAGATGGTGGGGATACCTAGAATTTTGAGACTTAACAGTAGTTACCCGTTATTTCAGCATTCCGGAAGTGTGTTTTGTAGCGTCCTGTGTACCACCTGTTAGCCCTGTCTTCCTTTGATTGGCTGCAGCGTGAGCCGCTTCTGTGTGTCCGCCCAGGGGCCGCTTCTGAAGCGCAGGCCGCCCCAGGGTCGAGCGCTGTGGGGGGAGGCTGCAGCGCCGTCTCCTGAAACAGGCTCCTACATATGTAGTGTGTACCTTTTTCTAATAAATTCTTCTGATAAACAAAGCAGTGTCCTTAATATTGTCTTTCTCAGTTTGCTGGAAAATGAGTTCTACTTTTATTGTAACCCTTTCAAAACATAAACATGTTAGTGTATTTCAGTCTCCAGTTAGCTATAGTTGTATTTTAAAAACAGCGTTTTCTTCCTAAGTCCGTCATTGTAGGGACTGAGAAAAGGAAGAGAGGGAAGAGACAAGAAAAGGGGAGAAATCACTGAAAATTCTCCCAAACACATCTGAACTTGCTGATCAGGTTGCACATGGCTACCCTTTCTGTATAGACCATGGGAGTGGGGTGCTGCCACCACAGGAGGGGTCCGGAAACTGGTCAGGGAGCAAGAGACCCCTGGAAGAGCTAGAGTAACTGCGAGCCAGAAAGGGTAGGCAAGTGCACTGGGTCTGGCCAGAGATGGCGGTGGCCGTGTTCCTGAAATGGCCAAAATGAAAATTGATAGTTTTTTTAAAAAGAAAAGCTAAACAGAAGGTATATTTGATATATCTGATATCAGATGTAAATTTTAAAAGTTTGCTCAAAGTATTTGGGCCAATGAAAGTGTTAAACCTCAAGTTAACGTTTAAAATTTTATCTGAGGGGGCGGGGATTTAGCGCTGTAGCACAAGTACCTGCCTGGCAAGTATGAAGTCATGAGTTCAGTCCCCAGCACCCAAAAAAGTGTATACAACTGATACTTAATTTTGATAAGTATGCGTAGTGATAGTGACCACTTTGATAAGTGACCTAATATGCAAGATTGCATTTTTTTTTTCCCTGTAAGGTAACTTGAAAACACACAGTGGCATCTTGGTTCATGAACTTAATTCTTTCCATAGCAAACTGAATTTAACAAAAACTGTTATCTAATTTTCCTGTAAGATGAGTGTTAAAACTATTGAATTTAATTCTCATCCAATTTTGTTTGTGACTAAAATCGTGGGAAGAGTTAAGTTTGTGGCCTTACTTAGCACTGTACTTTAAAGAACTTTTTAAAAGGGTGATTTGCCCTTTTAAAAGGTATGCTATATTCCTTTGTTGGAAAATTGGGAGTCTTAGGTAAAGTGATTTATTCATAATTCATGTAGAGGTATTTTGTGTATATTTTAAATGTGTACAGAGGGAAAAGTAGTTTGAATGTTCCTTTGACATTAAAATAGAGCACAAACCATATATTGTATTCTTTTTTTACGAGATCACAATACAAGTTACAGATTCTAGAGGCCTCCCCTCCTGCTTTTGGAGTCACATTTCATACAGCGAAGAACAATTGTAGTATTCCAACAACACCTTTTCAAAGTTTCATGCTTCATTGCTTGAGCAACGAAGTGGGAGAAGCAGGTAGGCGCGTTGTGAGCAACTTCTCACTTGGGCTGACCTGAGGACTTAATCTTGAGCCAGGGCAGGATGGCTGTCCATGTGCAGCTTCCGGGTAGGAGTCTGGTCTCTGCTAGCAAGAGATGGATGCCAGTCTGTCAGCCATCAGCACACACTAGGTTTGTAAACTGAGAAGTCATTCCTAAGGAAGCGGCCTTCCAGAGCCGTAACTAGTTCAAGCATAGTTCTTCCAGTCTGCAGCCATTAGAGAGGAGCGTCCATCTGGTGGTCAGCGTGTGTGTGGCCTCTTGGCTGCCATGCTCCCAGGACTTGAGTCCTGGTCTTTGAGTGTGAGTTGCTCTGGGAAATAAGTGAAATAACAGGTATCTGTTGAAACTTTCTCCATGTTTCCTTGGGGGACTCTTGCCTGTATTATCAAGACTGCTTTTTTCATTGTGTCCTCTTGGACAGTAATTGAAATGCAGCCTGTCCATTGATTTGCATATTTCAGTCATACCTCTAAAAATGACAATGCCCAGGCCCAGCCCATACAGCTCATATCCTACCAGTGGGGATATTTTCACATCACCTATGTGGTCTCCCGAGTAGCTAAGAAAGCCCTGTAGCCTGAAGCTCTGCAGGTCATAGCTGTTTCACTAGAGGAATAATTAATGAGGTCTTAAGTCATCTGGGTTATACCCCTGCTTTCAGAAGCAGCAGCATTACCTGGTAGCTTATACAGACTACCCCCCCCCCTTTTTTTAACCAACTCTAGTCTTTTCTGAGTTAAATCCCATAAGTACTGGCTGTGAGTAAAAGTAAACCCTTTGTAGAGAACATGTCAAGCTCATCCAGGGTGTACACAGCTAGGTAATGGTACAATCACTCATCAACCCATTTGGTGTGGTTGGGACGTCGGTTTAATTCAAGTCTTTCACTTATATGCTTGCTTAAAGGATTCTTCTAAAAGTATTGTAGCATTGCTTTTTGTAAGTCATATCCAGATAGTTTCATTTACTCTTTAATTTTTTTGAGACAATTTCTCACTATGTAGTCTAGTTGACCTTAGACTCACTTATGTCACCAAGGCTGGCTTTGAACTCATGGTGATCCTCCTGCCTCAGTCTCCTGACTGTTGGGATGATAGGCGTGCCCTAGCAACTTGGCAATTTACTCTTTAAGTCAATAGCATATTTTCCTTTGCTGTAGCAAGTAGTCTTCATTACAGATTATTCCAGCAGTGGATAACTGCTTAATGCTGGCTCTGTGTGGAGAATTTTATTGGTGTCATCTCCTTGCATTTTCCTAACAATCCTAAAAGGCAGGTCTTACTAACCTTAGTTATCTCATGGTCACTCAGTCATGATAGCTGGGCTGCACAAGTGGCCAAAACCAAAGCCTGTGCTGTCAGCCCATCATCTTGCCTGCCAAGCTGCTCTTCATGTTTGTAAAGTGTCCAACACTTAACCTTCCTCATTCAGCAGCTCAAGCAGTTTGAGCAATAGAAATGATACCCATTATTTCTGTTGCTCTTCTTCATAGTAAATGAAATTTTATCACCACGAATCACATGTAATTACTCAGCTGAGTGCCTTACCTAATCACCTCTCCCAGTTTATCCTTCAGACTTGCCAATGAATCATCTAGATTTTAGGTATTTGTATGGAACAGTGTAATTTCTATATCCACTCTGTCAGCAGACTTCACACAACTGGCAAAATCTTACCAGTTACAAATGGGTCTGCTTGGTTGAAGATCAGGAGTACACACTTGGCAAGCCATCTCTTGCCTTGCTCACTTCAGTGTTTCTGGGGCACCTCTGGGTAATCCCAAAGTTCCTCAAACCAATTTGGACTGTATTTGTGTCTGTGATTTTCAAATTGTCAAGAGTGTCAGTGGCAGTGTCTGACTAAGTACTTAATAGGTAAAGTTCCCGTCCTAGTTAAATGCCTAACAGAAATATGACCAAGTGCTTCAAGAGACAAGAACAGAATGTTCATAGCATCATAATAGCTTCAAGTTGGAAACAACCTAAATGCTTTATCAGCAACAATGAATGCTGCTTCTTCCAATAATAGGCAACTCACAGACAACCTGAGTAAAAATTAGAAAACAGCCCAATATTGTATTTTAATATTTCAAAAATGATTAAAGCTTCCAGGTGTGATGGCACATACCCATAATCCCAATATGAGACTGAAGCCAGCCTGAATTATGTCACAAGACCCTGTGGAGAGAGGAAGGATTGCCTCTGGATAAGCAGTTACTAACGGGATGGTGATAGAAGGGGATTGAGGTGGGACACAAGAGTCCTGAGATAACTGTCAGCCTCAACTTGCGTAGTGGTTACCAGGGGGTTACCACACTAGTGCAGTTCTATTCCATGTACTTCCTTATGTGTGCTATATTTCCCAAAAGTTAAAGGCACTGAGTGGCTAGTAACCCAAAGCCATTGCTTTGAATTTGTGCTCAACATACCTGCCCTTTTTCATTCCTCTTCTTCTCCCAGTCCAGTCCCAGTGGGAAAAAGAAAATTAAGAATTTGGGGCAGGGGAACCCATTGTTAAGAATAATTATATGCCACACACAGAATGGGCCTATTTGAAACCAAACATAAACTTGAGCAGATGTGCGTGGAGACAGTTGTTTTACGTGCATTTAAGACTACGCCATTGTGCTCTCTTTCATAGATCCAAGTTATTCTTTGAAAAACCTTACTAGTTTCTAAGGATGAGGATCTCATTTTCAATTCAAAAAGTGTCTCTTGCTTTGCAAGAGTGAATTTGTGGGCCAACCAGACATCAGTGACCTCTTTCACAGTTTAAATGTATTTGGTGAATATTTGTTTACTCAAATCACTAAGTCCTCTCTAAAAGACAGCATTTTTCTCATGATTTTAGGGAAGTCACAATGTATAGCCCTGGGATCTTGAAGCTTCGAGTGTATGGGTTAAACCTATTACATTTGATGTGCAGATTACACTTTGTAAAGAGCCCTTTAGAGTCTATAAGCACGTCAAACTTTTTCCTTATTTTATTTTTGGGGCATTTTGTGTTTAAAGAGAAAATTCAGTCTTGACCTTTTACTAATTACCTCCATACACTAGTCAACCAATAATCTTCCATCTTTCTGAATAAGCTCTCTCCAAACACAGACTCTTACTACTAGTAGATTTGTTAAATTTCTAATGCTTAAGTCTTCCATTAAAAGACATTTCTAGCTGAGCATGGTGATGCATACCTGCTAAAGAGGCTGAGGCAGGAAGACTACGTTTAAACTTAGCCTGGGCAACTTAGCACTCTGCAATACTTAATAACGAACATTTGAGTAAATAAAAAGGCTAGGGATGTAGTTCACTGTGAAGGCTGTAGTTTCAGTCTCCTGTACTCCCCCAAAACAAAACCAGACATTTCTCCACTTACTATTTTCCCTATCAATCATATAGAGCTTATTCTGTCCGATTGACCCCCAGAACATTGCTTATTATTTCATAGCTCTTTTGGCTCTACCTTTTCCTCCTGGGTAATATTCATGTTTGTCCTAGATTCAAAGCAGAAAGTGGAACACATTTCAGGCTATCTAGGTAGATCCTACAATGGGAACAAGACTTGTTACTAACTTCAACAAAAACTATGATTCTTGAATTCTGTAATTGTATACCTGTTGACAAAAGGTACTTTTAGAGGCAGTTTATCGTG